GACATTTCAGGTTGGGACCCTTCTTCATTTCATTTTCAAACTGAAATGTCAGCTTTCCTGTTCCACTGATGCTGCCTGGCCTGCTGTGTTCCTCCAACTCCACACTTTGTTATTTCTGGCTCCAGCATCTGCAGTTCTTGCTATTTCAGCCCCTAGATTCAGCACCCTGTAGCATTAATTTGAACTAGTCTTGAAGAAACCATGAGAGCCAGAACATTAATTCACAACTTTGTCACTGCTTAACGCTGAAACAAGTTGACCAATGCAATCTCAATTTATTTGATTTACTTACAGATTCTGGAGTCCAATATAAGGCTCCATATCAAAAGCATTCAATGTTTGAAGACTCTTCTGGTTCTCGATGTGTCTGTAAAACAGCCAATGAACAAAGAGATTAGAATGGTTCCAGTCTTAGTTCATAATTTTATGGAACAATCCCTAAAGTGAAGCTATACTGCACCTTAACCTCTACAGGAGTATGTAGGTGAATCTTAGCACAAACTCAGTGGTACCAGTTTTCCAGAAATCACTTCACTCTGTGGCATTTTCTTCTGGGAAAGTGGTGCAAAGAGACCTCTAAACTCCAACTCATCTACCAACAGAAAGCTTGATGAATTTTGACTTGCCATCATCTGTTCATAAGCCGATAAACATAACTGAATGTTGCCAGTGTGGGCCCATCCACCAGCTCTCACTGCACAGTTTCACTGATGCACTACTGTTCCCAGCATTTATTCAATTTAGATAGCTCAGCGGGTGAAAGACTGGCTCACCAGCAGTTTGGTGAAACAATCTGAAGTGTAGATTCTGGAGCCTGAATGCAGTGCTGGCCTTCAATCAGGGAGTGAGAAACCAGCAGCAATTAAATGCCTTCTGACAGCTGAGCGAGTTACAATGGAGAGCTGCTATCTCTTTGATGGTCTTGAGTCTCATGGACTTGACACAGCATTCCATTTGGGGAAGCTTAATATTCTCTGTGAAAATATTTCTTGACGAGATCTCAAGAAAAGTAGTGCTGATTTTCCTTGGGTCTTACATTAAATAAAGTCCCTTAAATGGTGTGAAAGAAGGAATTTAGATGGTAAGTGGCTAATTGCTACTCTTCTTTCTAAAATCCTGGAAATTTTGCACCACAACACCACGACTGTCACTAGGCCTATCAGCAGCAAAATCAATGGCAATCGTGATTTTCATACATTGAAGTCAATTGCATAATTTTACAACTTTGCCAAAATGAATTGTCTAATTGGTCTGATTTATTGCTCCATGTTCAGTATAGGAAACAAACTACCAAAGTTCCAATTGATCCAAGTGAAAAGATTCAACCAGCCCATCAGATGACCTTCAGCTACTATCATCATTGACAGCACAGAATTTCTTGGCAAACGAATGATTTCTTTATCAGGAATCAATTAGCATCTGATGAACAGTGGAGTCCTGCAGTCATTTTATTCCATCTCTCCACAGCCACGTAATGATTCTGAATGTGCAACCTGAATGCATTCATGGTACCCAGTGCTGGGTAAATGTCAACACTGGTCATTTTTAACAATTATCCTTTAAATGCACTGAATTCACCTCAACTGGTTGATTAATGAGTTGACAAAGCTGTTTTAATACACAATGTAAAATCCATACTATGTATAGCCTGAATCAATTGGTAGTTGTCAGCAGTGCAGGAAAAATAACATTTAATTAAAGTGTGATTCTTCTAATGATTCCTTCCTTACAATTATCCCAATGGTCAGGTGGAAGAAGATATCTGGGTTGGCTATCCAACGTCCCTTTCAAGATCTACAATTTTCTTTGTGACACAGAAGAACCTGATTGTGGGGATCAAGTGATCAAAGATTTTGGTCGATAACTGGCAGAATAGTCATCCGTGACCAGTCACGGGCTCAAACAATTTACAGCTGCAGTAAATTTCAGGCCTACTAACGGTTTAATCAATAATTTAGTAACACAGGGAAGAAAAAATTTGTGCAAAACATCCCTGCCTTTTGCTGCAAAGTTTATGGACACTTCAGAAGATTAAAGGACCCACCCATTAAATCACATAATCAAGAGCGAATAAGAATTAGATGTCATTGTGCTAATTCACTTCATGGATGCATCAATATTTGATGTAGTACTGCTGAAAAGTCATACACCTGAAACATTGTCCTCTCTTAGTGCGGATGCTGTCTGATCTGCTGAGCATTTCCATCATGTTGTGTTTTGCCTTCAGATCTCCAGCATCCACAGCATTTCGCTTTCTTTTCAACGTTTAATTTGTGACACAGAAATCCAGAAGTGTTGACCTTATGTTCACCTGAGCTGGCTTCGTTAAAATTATCCCCGGTTACATGGTAACCTTCTACCACCATAGTAATTTACAGGGTGAACGGTGTAAGGTTTCCATCTCTGGTTGGATATGCCTTGGTGGCTTCATCCTCCCTTCTCCAATGACAAACCCAATCAAGCACCTATTTCCCATATTTTTCAAATGAATAACGTATTCAAAGGTTGAGAAAATTTTTGTATTAATGCCTTTAAGAATTTTCCTTCCAGTTTCAAGGAATTTCATGTTTAGTTGTCAGAGATTCCAAGATGCTCCAGGAGGCTCGATGACTCTATAACACCAGACACAATACAGGCCAGTGGCTTCATTATTTATGACCCACTAACAAGCCTGGTGTCAGGGTGAGCAACTGTTATGAAATAAAATAAAGGACACTTTGCAACGCAAGCCCAGGGAACAACATCTCATTTTCCGCTTAAGCACTTTACAGCCTCGAGGTCTCAATACTAAATTCAATACCTTCAGAAACTGACTATAACATATTTGTTGTCTAATTTTCATACATTCTCTCCCCCAGCCCTCTCCCAAAGCCGTGTCACTTTTGTGTCATGTTCACTTTGCACTTCATTGAGAGGAACAATTCTTTCCCTTTCACATCTTCATTTTCACCTTTTCACATCTCTTTTTCTCTTCCTTCACCATCAACAATCCCTTTGTCATTTGTACTGAGCGTCTCCACTATCTGCCCTCCTGCCCCTTCTCTGCCTCAGTCAAAAGTATTAAAAAAATATTTTTCAGCATCTTTCAATTCTGAAGAAGAGTCATTCCAGACTCAATCAGAGATAGTAAGAACTGCAGATGCTGAAGTCAGAGATAACACAGTGTGGAGCTGGAGGAACACAGCAAGCCAAGCAGCATCAGAGGAGCAGGAAAGTTGACGTGTCGGGTCGGGACATTTTTGAAGAAACGTCCCAACCTGAAACATCAACTTTCCTGCTCCTCTGATGCTGCCTGGCCTGCTATGTTCCTCCAGCTCCACACTGTGTTATGTTATATCAGACTCGAAATGTTAACTCTGTTTCTCTATCCAAAGATGCTTCCAGACCTTTTATTTACTAATTCACACAATAAGGGCGTTGCTGGCTAAGCCAGCATTTATTGCCCAGAGGGCAGTTAACTGTCAACCACATTGCTATGAATCTGGAGTTATATGTAGGCCAGACCAGGTAAGGATGGCAGTTTCCTTCCCTGAAGGACATTAGTGAACCACATGGTTCTTCCTAACAATTGTTTCACAGTCATCATTAAAATCGTAATTCTTGATTTTATTTTTAAACTGAATTCAAACTCCATCACATACCACAGCAGGACTTGAACCCAGGTCCCCCAACATATTACCCGGGTCTCTGGATTAACAGCTCAGCAATAATACCATGAAGTCATTGCCTTCCCTGCTGAGTTACACCTACATTCTCTGTATTTGTTAAAGGACACTTCAACTGGGGTGAGGAAGAAGAGGAACAGGGTTGAGGAGTGAGGGAGGGCAAGCCTGTCCCAACTCATTGAACTTAGAAGGGTCCTGACCCGAAACGTCAACTTTCCTGCTCCTCTGATGCTGCCTGGCCTGCTGTGTTCATCCAGATCCACACTGTGTTATCGTTGAACGAAAGAGCTTGTATGTCATCTATCGATCAACCGTTGGTACTCTGTTGCTGCCCCTGCTCCACCTAGTGGCTGACAGTGGGAGTGCAGAGCAAGTACTGCCCAATGAGGAGCCTCGTTCTGCCATCATTGTCATTAAGGCAGTGGCAGGTAGGAGGCTTTATAAGGAAACCTGCATCTAGTTGCTTACAAGATCATGGAATGGTGTGCTGGGGGTTTCCTTGCTCAATCAGTGCCTTGCTGAGGTACACGGCATCAGGAATTGGGAGGCCCTGCTGTGAACTACATTTACTTTACTTTATGCTGATCCCACACCCTCTCATTTGTAACGTCCCTCCCTCCCTCCACCTCTCCCGGCAACACCCACTGGATGACTCCTGTCCTGCCATCACTCACTTCGAAGCAGTGACAATCCGAGATCTCAGATGGACCCAGTACCAGCAACTTCCCCTGCACTCCCAATGGGGCTGTAACTCAAACGGCAGGCCTTGATACAAGAGGAAGGCCCCTGTTGACCTGTCAAGTGCCTGATTGGAGCGGGCTATCGCAAGCCTGTGACGTGAAGGTTAGATGGATTGGCTGTGGTAAATTGCCTGTAATATCAAGAGATGTGCAAGCTAAATGGGTTAGCCATCATAAATATGGGGTTATGGGGATAAGGTGGGGGGAGTGCTGGGTCTGCATGGGATGCTTTTCAGAGGGTCAGTTCAGACTAGATGAGCCAAATGGCCTCTCCACATTGTAAGGACTCCATGATTCTAAGCCCATCCAAAAGGAGGCACTAACAGTCTTTCCGGCCCTCTCGAACTGTTATTGTTTTGTGTAGAATCCTTCGAGCCTGAAGCGATCTGGTACAAATTCAAATAGCCATCCTTCTGGTCCAACAGGAAGAGTGTTATTATGTAAACAATATGACGTTTATTGTTTTACTGAGACAATTTACAGATTACCTGAATGTGACCTGCATTACTGTAGAGCCCGTGGGGTGGACACTAGCCCCAGCACTGTCTCCTACAATGTCCTTCTTTACTCTGACCAAGTCCACATGATATAATCACAACAGTGGCGCTTACTTCACTCTGTTAAGTTTAAACCCTTTCAGACCCATCAACAACAACCTGCATAAAATACCACGTGCAGAAGACATTTGCCCAGCTGTGTATCTTCAGCAAAATGTAGACTACGATTACAGGTTTCACAGTGAAGATGTACTTCCCTTATTGTGTCCATGGTGTAATTTGCACCTTTTAGCAACTTTAACTTCCCAGAGTGGGGGATAGAACCCTAAGTGAGCTTGTGCACTGAAACATAAGGGTTCTGAGCTCGCAGATAGCAATGGCATCAAACAAGGTATAACAGCTTTGTCCTTGTTCTAACTGACCCGAGCTCTCGTAGCCCTCCTACTCCATTTTCACTGTGGGGTC